CACACACACGTATATACACAGATACACACACTCACGCACGCATACATAGATACACACGTATACACGTAACATACATGCACATTCACATACTTCAGTTGATCGCATATGCTGACGTGCACGCGGACACATCCATATACTTCAATGGCATTGATTTCTATGTAATGTGAAGTTCTCTTAGTTACTTCCCATTTGGAATGCAAACTTTACTCTTCCGAACATTCACACTACAACAAACATTGCTTTGTATTGACATGTTGACGGATAATGAACGCTTATCACGCTTTAACGTGATACGTGATATCTTGGTAGTATTGTTGTTGTTTATATTCAAAGCTATTCATAACTATGATGAAATTGTGGTAGAAAAGTTAAGTTGATTAGTGTATTGATATCGGTACCTATTGTTCTATAATCTGTACTGCAACAAAACTTTAAAGTACACATAAAGTTCTACATTCAAAATATAGCAGCATATATTGATGCTGCATTAAGTAACAGTTGTAAGTTTGTATAAATGAAACATTATCATGTTACTGAACAAAAACATAGACGAATTTGATTTGATTTGCTTATCGATTTGTGTTTGAGCCTATTTACAGTTACTGTTAATGACATAACTTTGGATATTTTTGCATAATTTCATCCATTAAAATTATAGTATGCATAAATTGAAGTGAAGCTTCTCTCTTTCCCTCTCCCTCTACCTCTCCCTCTCCCTCTCCGTCTGCCTTCCTCTGTGCCTCTCTCTCTCTCTCTCTCTCTCTCTTTCTTTCGTTGTATTGCTTAAATGATAATTCACCGATGCTTTATTGATTTCAGTTAAAAATGAACGAAACATGATGGAAAGAAGTAAACTGCAACACACTGCCATTCGAAGAGTTTGAACGAAAAATGAACCACGTTGAAGAAGAAATGTAAAAGTATTCCTTTCTTTGCATATTAAATGTACCAAACAGTTCAGCATGTCAGTATTGCATACAACTTTTGGATCAAATGAATGGCGCTCTGATAGAATGTTTCGATCGCATGGATTACTTAAGGTTTTTTTTTTTTTTGTTTTTGTTATTGGTGTTGTTGTTGTTGTCGTTGTTGTTGTTCTTTTCTATATATTCAATTTGTGTGAAATATAAATGAAACGATTTAATTTGTGTTACATATAGTTTATACTTAGGGATAGTGATGTTCTTGTTTGTTTCAGAAATATTAATTTGTATGAATTAGTCTTCAACATCTATTTTGATTTGTGTGTGGTATTATTTTCTCTTTTTTGGTTTAACTTCTTTCAGAATTTCAGTGCCTAGCACAGTGTCATGTTGTACTTGGTTTGATAATTTTTATATTGGCTGCATTAGCAGATTATATGAGTTCACGAATTCACACGATTCGAATGGTTGGCCTGGAAGAATGCTGCTCATTCTATTTCATCTTGACTGGGTACTTCTTTCATTTATCTTTCAGAGATAAAAAAAAAAAAGAAAATGTTGTATGATTGCAACAAGAAAGAATTTAAAACAATCAAAAATTGCTATGGTTTTCGCATTTTGTAAGACATATCTGCATTTCGGAAGAATTCGGAAATAAACATTGGAGTAAAGAAAAAGAAACTGCCTAATAATATTTCTATACTAACTCTTCTTTTGCAAAAAAACGAATTAAATTATTGATCTTATCGTATAATGTTATACTTTTTAGTATCATCGGAATTTGTGGTTCAGCCAGTCATCGTCGTGGTCTAATATTGGCATTCATGGTAATGAATCTGCATGAAATTCTTATTTTCGTACCAGCAATTGTAATCGTTTCAAGTTTTGATATACATTTTTATCAGGTTTGTGAATTTTTTAAAATTATGTCCAATTTTAAATTAGATTGAAGTATTGAATGACAGGAACACAAATAACTATTTTTATGTCCAATTTTAAACTAAATTGAACTATTGAATGACAGGAACACAATAACTATTTTTCTAGGCCGAGTGTTTTGGTGAATGTGATTGGCATCTGTTAGCGACAAGTTTACCAGAAAATAGTCGATGTCAAATTCTTTGCGGCGAAAATATTGACGACAACAAAAGAAGGTATCAATTTCACATCACGTTCTGAAACTTTTCAAATTGAACAGGTGAGAGAAGTAGCTAGCAGCATCTATTCATCGAGCATATTATGAACTTGTTCTTTTCTAGCCTAAAAATTTTGATCTATGAAAACTATCGATAGATGATTGCATGATGCAAAAGCACTTAACAATTTGATTGTTTGTTCTTAATTTGTTCGATTGTTAAACTTGCATAAAATACAGTTTTTCAGTTATACTGAGCGTAAGATCTTGATTTGTAGTTAAAGAAAGTGAATGAACAAGGAAATTTACAGTTTGATGACACGATTAGGAACAGAATATCGTTTGGATGCTGGCATTATTGCAGCAACAATCTTACAGATGGTACTCTCTCTTTTTTCTGCATCAGTTTGTTGTCGGGAAATATGTATGGAGTGTCGACCAATTACGTGGAATAATGATGTTCGTTTTGAAGATTTTTAATGATTAAATTTGTCTTTTAAAGTAACACTCTCTTCAGAGAGAAAACTATGTATTTTGTATTAAATTCTATCACAACATTAATGCTCAAATATCTCCTGCTGATTGCATATTATTTATGAAAAAAGTTTCACAATTTAAATCAAATTTAAAACCTCTAGCACTTATATTTTATTTTTTGATTTAGAAGAAACATGAATATTAAGAACTTTATCACTTTCCAGGCTAAACCATTCAAGTGGCTCATTTCTGAAATTTTCAATTTTAGAATCAACAGCTGGATATGATGATGCCGCTAAACCTACAGGATAGTACATCGAACTGAACAAAATCTGATTCCCGTTATTGTATTATTGAAGACCGCTTCATAACTATGCTATTAAGCTATCATGCATATGATAATTTTGCATATTTACAATTATCATATGCTTATGCACACGTGCAAGTTGTAGTGGTCATTTTGATGGTCTCTGTATCGTTCCACAAATCTAGAAAACACAGAAAGTGCAGTGATTGTTTCAATTTAATTATCGTTTTTTTTTCTGCTATCTCACAATATTTCTTTGTCATCTCACACATTTAGCAAAGAGTAAGTCGTAAAAAATGCAGTTCAAAAGTTAAAAGGATTCAAGTACTAGAAAAAAAAATAAATGGAGTTTATTTTCATTTATTTTATATATATATTAGCAATCTGATTGACGAAAAAAAACTTATGTTAAGAGTATTGTTTAGCAGTCGATATTTTTTACCCATAAGGGCTAGATTTTTTTTTTTTTTAGTAAGAAAGAAGGAGTAAGGAGATAGAAACTTCAAGCTTATCTACATGAAATTTTTTACGTCGATTAGAACGTTCACATATGTATTTGTTTCCGGTGCATTAAATATGAAATTAATGTGATAAAAAGTTGGAAGTTATGGAATATACCTGTATTTTATGGGTTGCAAAGTTATGAATCTGCGTTATGCTAAGGTACCACTGGAAAACCGAGAAAAGTTCGAAAAAGAAGCCTTGTTGCAGTTGTGCTTCATCATTTTTCATATTAATAAATTTTTAAGAGTTTTTCAAATTTGTAGTTCCCGATATATTTTAAAGTGAACGAAATCTTTAACGAATATAATTTATTAATGTATGAATTATTGTACAAAAGAAATATGACTCATTGATCCCCGAGACAATGGCTACTTTTCTTGATAATGGAATTCATTACATAATCATACAAAACATTCCATTAAATGGTAAATAAATATACGACATGAAAACAGGAATACGACAAGCCTTTATAGGATAGTTCTCCTCCAATTTCAGAGTATAAAAACAAAATGATATTCTACTTTATTACTTTCGTAACAAATTCTAGATTTGATCAATAAAGGGAGAACTATGGGAAGTAGACTTGACAGTATTGCTATCATTAAACTATGCGATTGTTAATTTACCAATTTTTCTTCAGTGAAATATTCATTGAAAACAATAAACTGAAACGAACCAAATGTAAGCGTAAACTATACAGGATTTTTTTATTTTGAGATACGAAGATGCTGAACGGAGAAGATTCCCAGGCTAAATATCTGATAAACTTTATGGTCAAATCTTGGCACGTCACATAATACATAACAGTCTAGCTTCGGAGATATTTACATTAGCTGATGGAGTGAAAAATTGCACGATATATTACTTAAGCTGTTATTAGAACAACTAATGTACAATTTAATTAAGTCCTTAAATAGTTTTCGTACATGGCCCTTTTTTCTATTTGAAATTTCCGATAAGATTATTAACTGCTCATTAATTACCTTACAAGTGAGACGGGAAAACAAATGGAAATAATGCTCCGCTCAGCGGAAACTGACAAACTACATTATGATACATATCACAGTAAGTAATAAATTTTGTAGTTAAAACTTTGCGTTGATTAACAAATAAAAATTCTCAAAAATCAAAGATGCATATAAGGCCAAAATTGCTACACAATGTTGAATTGTTACGAGCAAGTGAAATTTTAACTTCGCTAATCTAAATTTTACAAATTTCATAGAAATTTCAACATAAATAGGCATAGAGTGCAGTTGTAGCAAAATTCTAAAGTCTCGAGTAAAGTGAAATTTAAACTTTCAAACTAAATCGATAAAGAATAAATAAAGGATAAAAAGTTTTTTACGAGAAAAGAATTCTAAAATCATTTAAAATGGTTGAGATGAAGGAATGTTTACTGAACACGCTTCTCTTTCAGGCTGCTTAAAAAGCTATTTGAGAGAACATTTCCCAATAAACAATAAAACGAGGGTAAAAACGAGTAGCATAGAGAGACATTTCAATTGAATGTAGTGTTCTTTTCTTCTTCGAAAGACTATAGCCAATAAGGAGATGAAAATAAACTACTAAGATAAACCAGACCAAATATAATTTCTCCAAGTAGATGCTGTCGTATTATTCGTCGTAACATTCGCTAAA